TCAGATAAATACTATTATATATTATTTTTATTTATCAAAATTATTTTTTTATAATATTTTTTATATAATATTTAATTATTTTCTTTAAGAATTCTCAAAATTTTTAAGTAGTGCAACAATTTCAAAGTATTGTAGCTCAAAAACCTAGTTGCAAAGCTTTTTTGATATTTCTAAGTAACTATTTGCAGAATAACTAAAGAAAAAACTTTTGTTATTTGAATAATAATATTATTAGTAATTCCATTTTTTTTCTTATAAATGAGAATTTTTATTGATAATCATTTTAGGTGTAACAAATAATTTTTTGGTCAATCTTTTATATAAATAAATAAACTACACATAAATAATTAGAGTAAAAAAGATCTATAATAAACTAGGGCTCCTAACAATACCACTTCAATATCACTTTGATACCAGTTCAATACTTAAATTTACTATAAAAACATATGAGTACATCACAATCCATATATTAAATTTATTATAGATTGGTACTATTTCAATACCAGTTCGATACCAGTTTGGTATTTTTTCAAAGCCCTATAATAAATTGAAACATAATAAAAGATATTATTTTTCTTAGCTATAAAAAAAACTGATAACAATTATAAACAATTTATAAAATTCTTCATTTTTGTAATTTTCTTTTAATTCTTTTTAATAAAATATTATTATTTTATATTTTTCTTTTATAATTTTCTATTATTTTTCTTTTGAAATTTAATTCCTATATATTGTTATTTTCTAATTCTAATATTAAAGCAAAGTTGTGAAATTGACTAAAACAATAATTTTAAATTGTTTATATTAATTTATTTAATAATGCTTGAAACAAAATAAATTAAATCATCAAAGTTAAAAATTATTTTAATCAGTAATTTTAAATTATGTCAAAGAAGAAACTAAAGTTTCAATATAATAAATTGTGAATTTCATCTTATTTTAATTTATTTTTATATTTACTGGAATATTTTTTTAATTTTATTATTTTGTTTCTATTTTCTTTTATTTTATAAAAACATTATGTTTATTACAAGTTTAAATTGACACAATTTTTATTTTACTTTCCTAAGGCAGTAATACTAACAATAGCTTTAAACTTATATTTTTTAATATAAGAATAAACTATTTACTTGATTTTACTAAACTAATATATTTTGTAAAATTAGTTTTAATATATTTTTAATAATTTCTTTCATATTTTTTGTAATGATATTATAATAATTTTATTATAAAATAATAGCTCTTCAAATCTATAACTATTCTTAATATTATTTATAATTTTATTATTTTGTAATAAATTAAAGATACTTTAATATTTAATTTATAAAGAGCTATATCAAATAGTTACTATTGTACAATTTACATGTTTACTTATAAAAACTTTCTAATATATTAATTAATAAAATAAGCAAATATATTTCAAAATAAAAAAAAATTAATAGTAGTATTACAAATTATTAGTTGAAAAATTTAAAATAGATTAATCAAAATTCAAGATTTTTAATTATAATTAGTTAATTATATTGAAACCAATCAATTAATTATAAAATTTTTGTTAAGATTATTAATCAATAAAACAAATTGTTACTTATATATAATATTCATATTAGATAGTTAATAACATTTTTGTTTTTTATAATTTTAATTAAAACATAATTTTTATAAATAATAATAAGGCCAGTAATAAAGTATATATTAATTTTAGAAGACAGCAAGATAGGGCTCTTAATAATACTATTTTAATATTACTGTTATACTAGTTTAATATTTATATTTACTATAAATTTATATAAATAAGTCACAATTCATATATTAAATTCATTATAAATTAATACTATTTTAATAATATTTCATATTAGTTCAATACTTTTTAAAATATTAAGTAAAATTATACAGTAGCTTATTATATTATTGTGAACACTTTTTTTTTAATTGTACAAAATTAAGTAAGTAAATATGGTACTATTTTTTTACTGCATGTTTAATAAATATCAAAATATATTATATTAAAATTTTATACAATTCTGTTTTGTTTTACAAAAATTATACAATGAACAAGTCAAATTACTTTTTTTGAATAGAACTGGTGGGGTTTTTTTTCTTATTTTTTTTGCTTTTGAAGTTATATATCAAAATTTTCCAGAACATTCTGTATCACCTAAACAATATGTGAGATATCAAAAAGGATATATGTTTATATTAATTAGATCCTTTTTTTTTGGACAATCAGTAGCTCATAATAGATTGTCTCAAAAGATGAACAACAAGAAAGACCTTACCAAAGGATAGAGGAGTTCTATAATTTATAGCTATCTCAAAAAAGATTCAGTTCATACTATTGTAGCAGTTGTTGATTGTGAAAGATCTTCTATATGGAGTGTTATAAAAAAGGTTTATAAGTTGAATACTTTAAAGTTTTCTCTCAAGAATTGTCCTGGTTGTTCTAAATTCCTAACTACCCTTGATTGCATTAATCTCAAAAGTCTAATTACTAATGGAAACTGTCACCTTAATCTAATCCAGATTACTAATCTTTTCAATACCTAAAAGAAAAAAAAACAAAAATCTGTTTTCAAAAGTATCTTTCATCATGTCTTACATAGTAAAAACCTGAAATCCTATGTTATTTACCCAAAACTATTTATCTTTTCTGAAAATAAAAAAAAGAGGCTTGATTAGTATCTTGTCTATAAAGATTGGTTCATTAGAAGATTTTGTCATGTTTTGTGATTTGATAAAACTAATGTTTGTCTTTTTCTAGGTTCTCTGGTCAAGCTTGATGTGAATTATATGAAGGGTATCATATTGAATATCTGAATAGTATTATCAAGTGTAATCTGGGTTGAATGTATTAGGATTGCTTCTTCTGATATGGTGTTGGATCTCTTGTTCTATTGAATTCTATTGCCACTGATACTTCACATGTTGATATTCTACAAAGATATGTTTTATTGGTTCTAAAAAATTTCAAAGGTTATAAGGATTGTTATCAATTTTTTTAGCAGGACAACACAAAACCACAACTATCAAGATAGCTTTGAAATTCATTAATAAAAATATGATTTGTATGATGAATTGGCCTTCACAAAGTCCTGATTTCAATCCAATTAACAATTTTTGGGCCAATATAAAAAAATTGGTAATAAGCCAAAACCAAGTAATTTTAGTCAACTTGACATTCTTGTCAAGCATATAAAATATGATATACCACCAGAATATTGTCGCAAGCTGATTATAAGTATGTCTGATCAGGTCACTGCTAGCATTAAAGTTGGAAGAAACCTATGAAATACTAGAATGTAATTAGATTAGTTTTTTTATAAAAAATTTTTTTTAAAATAATTAAAAAATAAAAAAAAACCAGTTTAATAAAAAAACCAACTTTGTGAGTTTTTCTATATAACTTTTAAGTGACTAAATTAAATATTATCAAATTTTAGTATAATATATCTTAATATTCATTAAACATACAGTAAAAAAATTGTATCATATTTATTTACCTAATTTTGTACAATTGAAGAAAAAAAAGTGTTTATAATACAGTAATATAATAGGCTACTGTATATATATATACAGTTTATTTAAAAAGTCTTTAGACAAATATTTTTTATAATAAATAAATATATATTTAATTATTTGCTATAAATTTTAAAGATATATTTTTTAGAATGTAAAAAACAAAATAATAAGTTTTTTTAAATACTTTATTAATAAATTTATCTTAAAATTTGATTTTAAAACTAAAAAAAGTTTGTTTAAAAAAATTTTTTTTTTTATCGTAAAAGGGCATTAGATGCAAGTCTTTATTAAATTGTATATGTATGATATATGAGTTACATCAAATATCTTTACAGAATATTTCTCCAAATTAATGTTAACCTATCTACAATACTAACTAAAGCAATCCTCCTTACACTTAATGTAGATTGGATTAGCGTTAGTGCTGAATGGTTAATGCCCTTCCAAAATTAAGATAAAGTCTTAGAACTTTAGTATGTTTATTTGATCTATTTGTTGTAAGTTGGAGTGTGTGATAATTTTGTCAAATAAGTCTGGTTGTGCAACAGGTAATCCTTTTGGTTTGGTAATTGTGGGTTTCGAAGTAGATTTTTTCCATTTGATACCAGATGTTATTGAGGTGTTTGCTGTTGCCAATCTAGATATCCATACTGCTGTGTACAAAAGTTTGAGAGTAGAGTTTGTTAGCTTGGCCTGTGCTTTTTTTGAGAGCTAGATTCTAAGGGTCAACATTCCGCATGCTAAGCCTTCGAGATTTGACTTTCTATTGATAATCAGAGTTTGTAGTTGGCGAACTGATTCTGCTGCTATTGTTTTGGACTTGCTTTTAGATAGGAGTTTTTTGATCTTGATTTTGTTTTCGATTTCAACAAATGCTGATGTGTTTTTATAACATTCGAATATGTGTCTTTGTATCTCGGATGCAACTAGGCATCTGGGGCAAAGGTTGTCTTTATATAGGTTTGGATATCTCTCATGTAGTACTTGTCTTGTAGGAAGAGAACCATTAAGTATTTTGCATCTAAATGCTAGCAGGGATAAGCAGCTGAGCTTGTTCTTTTTGATAAGAATCTTATTAGCTAAGTAAAGTGTTTGGAGAGATTCCAAATCAGATGCCTGGTTCCATCTTTCTTTAACAGTTGAGCTATTGGTGAGGTCTACCATTCTATATATTTGTTGAACTCTTTTAATCCAGTGTGTTGGTCCTATGCTCCAAGTGTTTTTAATTCTAGAGCTAGTTAATTAATTGTCGACTGCTAGGATATTGTCGATTGAAATAATGTTGTCACTCTCCTGGGATGTCAGGGTGCTGATCTGCTTATATAAGGTTAGTCTAATCTCTTTCATAGTGTAGAGCTTTTTGATATAGTTAATTAGATGACTGTATGAAATTTTGATTCTTCGGTTAAGGTAGCTTGGGGTATCTAGTTGTAATACAAATGGGGTGTTAATAGTTATATAATTCTGTTCCTTAATAGCTACTAGAAGTCCTATGATCGATAGCAATACGTTGATAGTGCAGTTATGAATTGAGTGTAGTGCTAAGTTAATTTCTTTGTTTTTTATAAAAACTAGTTTGTCTTTTGTTGTTAGATCTATTATTGGGAAAGAACGAATATTCAATATCAACTGCTTGATATCTTCTATCATATCCTCATTTAGCTGGAAAGTGTCTTTGCCAGGTAGGTTGTTACTGATTATAACAGTAGGGGTAGCATTGTCTTTACGGTATGCTTGCATGTAACAATCTTGACCTGTGACTGCGCCATGAAACCCATACTGTGCCTAGCGACCTGGACGCCCCGGAAGGTATCTGATCCGCCCCTGACGACCTGCAAGTCTGAGACACACTCTCAGACATTTGTCAGACGCATGTATGGTGCGATTCTGACCCTGACGATGTGCCACGCCGTCAAGACGCCACTAATTAATTACTATGAGCTAATGTAACCAAATTAGGAGCATAAGACCATAGAGTGTGCATATTGTTTATATTATTTTCTTTTTATTTCCTTTTATATTTCTTTATGTTAATTAAGTACATATGTCTCCGGA